GAGCAGGAGTAGGTCATTTGGCCCTTCGAGTCTGCTCCACCATTCAAAATGATTGTGGCTGATCATCCATCTCAGTGCCCTGTTCCCGCATTCTTCCCATACCATTTGACCATTCTTGCCCAAAGAACTATCTGTCACTCCTTGTTAAATGTGTTGACCTCAACTGCATTCAATGGCAGAGAATTCCTCAGGCTCACCACTCCCTCGGTAAAGACGTTTCTCCTCATCAACCATAAATGGCCTAGCCCATATCCAAAGACTATGACTCCTGGGTCTGGACTCCCCAGTTTTGGGAATATCCTTCAATAGCCAGGTTGTTTTAGGTCAATTAGATTGATTCTCAAGAAAATCAACTTCTTACCAACTTATAGCGTCAAATAGCAATGAGGTAACTGATTGCAATAATAATTAAACTAGATACAAAAATGTTATTCCAGCCGATTGAAAAAAGCTGTTGAATACTGCAGTTTCTTTGTCACAGATTTGAGACATACATGCTCAGTATATAACAGGAGCCATACGTATTTTGGCTAAATTAAAATTTAATTAATAAAACATTTATTGAAAATAATCTCACACAGCTATTTCTTGATTTCTTTCCCTTTTATTGGAATTGGGACATCAAATGGTTAACATGATATCGCCTAATTGGATTTAAATAGAATTAAAGTCAGAAAAAGTGGAGCTGGAAAAGCGCAGCAGGTCAGACAGCATCTAAAGAACAGGAAAATCAACGTTTCAGGTTGGAACCCTTCTTGAGGGCTCAGGAGGGGGACGGAAGCCCAGAAATAAACAGAGGGAGGAGTGTGGGGTTGGGAGGAGGGTAGGCCAGATGGAGATAGGTGGATGCAGATAGGGGGTTATTGTGGTTGGTCAGTGGGAAGGGTGGAGCAGATAGGTGAATCAGAAGATGACAGTGGTTGGGGAGGAGGTGGAGAGATTTTAAAGCTGGTGATGTCAATTTTCAGGCCATTGGGCTGTAAGCTCCCAAGGTGAAATATGAGGTGTTGTCCTCCAGTTTGCGTTTGGCCTCGCTCTGACAGTGGGAGGCCAAGGATGGATATGTCATCAGGGGAGTGGGAGGGGTGTGTTAAAGTAGACGGCAACCAGAAGATCGGGATGATTGGTGCATGCAGAGCAGAGATGCTCCGCAAACTGGTCCCCGAGTCTGCGTTTGGTCTCCTTGATATAGAGGAGACCACATCGGGAGCAACAGATACACTAGCTGAGGTTACGTGAAGTGAATCTCTGCCAGATCTGGAAGGATTGTTTGGGGCTTTGGACAGAGGTGAGAAGGGAGGTATGAGGGCAGGTGTAGCATCTCCTGTGGTTGCAGGGAAACGTACCAAGTGTGGTGGAGGGGTTGGTGGGGGGTGGGGAATGTGGAGCCGACGAGGGAGTCACGGAGTGAACAATTCTTGTGGAAAGTGGGCTGCAGTGCGGAGTGAAATACCTTTTCGGTGGTGGGCCCAGATTGTAGGTGGCAGAAATGTCGGGGGATGATGTGTTGTATTCGGAGGTTGGTGGTGTGGTATGTGAGGACTAAGGGGACTCTAACATTATTACTGTTGGGGGGGTGGTGGGGAAAGAGGGTTTGAGGACAGAAGCATGGGAAATGGGGGAAATGCAGTTGATGGCATCCTTAATAACAAAGGAGGGAAAACTACGGTCCCTGAAGTAGAATGATATCTGGGAAATCCTAGATTAGAATGCCTCATCCTGGGAGCAGATGTGATGGAGGCAGAGTAATTGAGAGTAATGGGATAGAATTTTTACAGGATAGGGGGTGAGATAAAGTGTAGTTAAGGTAATTATGGGACTCAGTGGGTTTGAAATGGATATCGATAGTGAGTTGGTTGCTGGAGATAGGGACAAAGAGCTCCATGAAGGGAAGGGAGGTGTCAGAAATGGTCCAGGTGACTTTCAGGGCTCAGTGGAAGGTGTTGGCAAAGTTGATGAACTGTTCAAGTTCCTCACGGGAACACAAGGCAGCACCGATACAGTCATCAATATAGCGGAGAAAGGGGTGAGGGATGGTGCCAGTATAGTTATTGAAGAGGGACTGTTCCATGAATCCCACAAACAGGCAGTCATAGTTCAAGCCCATGCGGGTACCCATAGCCATCCCTTTGGTTTGTAGGAAGTGGGAGGAAGCAAAGGTAAAGTTGTCGAGGGTGAGGACCGGTTCCGCCAAGTGAATGAGAGTGTCAGTGGAGGGGGACTGCGTGGGCCTATGGAAGAGGAAGGGAGATAGGGCTTCTAGGCCATCCTCATGGGGGACACAGGTGTATAGGGAATGAACGTCCAAAGTGAAGATGAGGTGCTGGGGACTGGGGAGTTGAAAGTCTTGGAGAAGGTGGAGGGTGTGGGTTGTGTCCCTGGGCCAGAGAGGAAAGAATGGAGTCAAGGTAAGAGAAGATGAGCTTGATGGGGCTGGAGCAGGCAGGAACAATGGGTCGACTGGAGCAGTCAGGTTTATGGATCTTGTGTAGGAGATAGAAACAGGCGGAGTGGGGTTGAGGAACTATCAGGTTAGTGGCTGTGGATGGGAGATCTCCCAAGGTGATGAGGTTGTTATTGGTCTGGGTGATGATGGCTTGGTGATCAGAGTGGAAAACTGATTGAAGGGACTTTAGGAGGTGGTGTTGGAGATTTGGCGTCTGGCCTCAGCAATGGAACTGACTTGTATTTTAATAAAATGAAATAATTTTATAAAAATAATAGCTACATTCAAAGTACTTTGCATTAACTAAATACAATTAAATAGAAACATACTGTGATAACATCACAAAGCATATAATTTTACATTTTTGTTCCTAAGTTGCAAATTAAGGTGAAAGTAAAGTATGTCTTTTTGCCCAAACATGCTTCACCATTTTGCTCGCTATCTACAATCATATTTTTAAAAAATTATATTGACTCCTATTTCTGTCAAAAAGAAAATGTTATACAACAGTGCACACCTAACATAACAGCCTAGAAGATGTAAGCCTGCAACATCATATTACTTACACAAGTAATTTAGAAAACTGAAGCTCAATTGGTGGGCAGACGTCAAACCTTACCATATTTCTTTGGTGATATATGGCGAGGTTCACAAATAAAGGCATGTCGAAAATGGCAGCTGCTGCAGGTTTAAGCTTGACCTTCACACTGAGTGCCGATATTTTGTTGTTGACATTTTTATTTTGTAAACTATGATTTGCCAGCAGCAGTAAAAGATGCCAAATTCACTGACCCCAGATATTGTTTCAGAGTCTGATGAGATGTCCCATTCATTAAATAGCTCCGTGTCAAACAATACAAATTGTTATTACCTCGTAGTTCAATTCATTATTTTGTGTGCTTTTGTGCTTAGTAGAATGACTGAAAAGCAAGAAAGAACATAATTCTTTCACTGCAGTACCCAAATATTAGCCTGATGAGTTACTGCTAATTGGGTTCTAATTAACCCTTAATTTTGGGCTGATAGCATTATTTTAGCATGTTCTTGAACTTGGACAGTTCGAAGAGAAGAGGAATCGTGAAAGGGGAATTGTTTTTGTTTTGTGACCACCTCCTTTGATATTGTAAATGGTAAGTCAGAGAAGGTGTACTTTCCTTTGTGTTCTGTGTTAGTGCATTTTTCTCTGCCCCCTTCTCTTTTACTTCCATCTTCACTTTCTTTTAAACTCTTCGTTGCTTGTCATTTTGTTTTTCTTTCCACTTTGATGGAGGCTGATGGGGGCATGGAAGGTGAATGGAGTCCCTACAAGTTGCAGGCTGCATTTGGAATGAGTGTTTGCAGGAAAAATGTACACTAACACATGAACATTTATTGCATGCACCTGGCGTTTGGTTTATGCTATTTCAACAAAGGAGTTATCCTGTTAAAATAGAGTCACACTTTTATTAAGGTGGAAAGACAGAAATTCCATCCAGCTAGGTTCAGTGTTTGTACATAATTCCCACTGCTTACACCAGCCCAGTTATTCCAGACAGCTGAATATATCCAGCAAATATGGCCAAGTATTTGGCAATACAAAATGTGTCTATTACAAAGGCACTGCTTAAACTGTGTTAAGTGAGTTGGGTCCCTCAGACAGCTCAAACAGCTGTTTGGGGTCACCTTCCACCCCTGTCCCTCCAGTGCCATTTGTCTTGCAGCACTTGCTTTGATGACTATTGGCAAAGAAAAGCATTTTTGTCCATTCTTTTGCAAACTTGGCACTCGCAGACTAACTAGGCTCAGCAAATATTTCTTCTGCGAATCATCTCCTTGTTAAATATTGTTCTTAGGGCATTCATACACACAGTGGTGGTCAGTAAATTACACGGATATTGACGAGTAACTTTCAAGGCAAAGTTGTCTATACATGTCATGACACTCTCTGTTGGGTCAAAAATCTTGACAATATGACAAATGCTCTCACTATAAGCCATGGGGGCTGTGCCAGCATCCAATGGTGCCATTTCAAAGATATATTCAAAGTTGAGTGGACTCTAATATCATGATAGTCTTCTAGTTGTTCTTTACTATATTGTACTCAGATGTTTACAGGGACAAGATCCAAGCCAAAGTTGTCCATTTTCCTCATCTTGAAATATGTATTTACAACATAAGCCCTGGATTGAACTGCAATGTTGTGACATTTGAAAACAATTCTGAACTTATCATCATCTGTGCACTGTTTACAAAACTGGATGATGAGAACATGACATGCCATTCCCTAGTGAAGTGAGTTTTATAACACCACATTATCCATCACTTTAAAATGTACAGTGGGATTCTGGCATTTGAATTTTACGAGTAGAATATCTCATTCCTACAGTTAGAATAGATGGTTGACCAGTTTCCAGTGAAATTAAATTTTCATTTTAGTTATATGCGACATATATTTTATGATATTGAATGCAGGGCTGAATTGTCAAACCAATATTTAAAGGTGACAACATTCTTTTTATGTGATAGCACGATCTCATTGCAGTATCATTTGCTCTATGGCACAAGATCATGTTACCTTGTATGAGAGCAGTGATTTGTTGTGATTTCTGGGATGGGTGATCTTTCAGAATGTCTAACGCAGTCCATTCTTGGGTGTCCTTAATACTCGCATCAATTCCTGGAATAAACATTACACAGTTTGAATTATATAGAATTACAAGGATCAAAACCAAAAAATACATGGGAGATAGTCACAAACAGTTGCATGTTCACATGGCCAAGTTAAGGTATGAGCAATTATCTTTGATTGGTCAAATGCCTTTCTTATCTCTGAGGTTTTCTTGTGTCTGTTGCTGAGTCCTGAGAATCTTTATCGATACACACAATGCAGTTAGTGACTTCACAGAGGTTACAGCAGCACAAGTCTTTGAACAAATTATCAAAAACAATTTTATCCAGGTATCAAATGCACAAAAGAGAATGGGGCAAATTTGAAGGTAACAGTGAAGTGATCATCTGTGCCATTGACCTTAAAGACAGCTGCTCACAAAGATTTAGTAAGCTCTGTGGCTTGGTTTTTAACACTCTTGGTATTACAGGATATCTCTGAAATGCAATGACAGCCATCTTAAAAGGCAAACTAAACAATTTCAACTAAACAATTATTTCCCTGAAGAATGCTTACAGACAAGAAGCTGGGTAATAACAAAGAAATTTTTGTCATATTATTTATAATTTTATAAAAAGCAAAACAAAGAGTGGGGCGTAAAAATGGGATTAAGGTAGAAACTGAAATAAAGTTAACAAACATAAGAAATGTACTGTATTACTTAAAATGCAGGAATTTTGTCGTGGAGTTAAAAAAAAGGACATTTCATGAATAAAACAATTTCAAGGCCAAAGAAGTGTTTCACCAGAAATTATAACTTAGTATGCAGTTAAACACTCAAGATAATCTCAATATATAGGTATTTAAACACCACATTCAGTGAAAGAACAGGGACTTGGTGACAGCAAATTCTGGAATCTTCCAGTGCTTTAAGTCAGTCCCGCAGATTAATGACTTGAACACTGACAGTTTTGCTGTCATTACTAATTTAAAATCTGGACAATAAATTTCTTGCTGCATATTCAACATCAATAATTTAGTGGAATTAGATTAAGTAATGGTAATATTAAATAAAACCAAGTTTTGTATCCTATAGAGCACATACGTGTTACATTCTGCTCGGATTAGCTCTGGCCATTATATCGGGCAATAAAAACTTCACTATAAAAATAATTTTATTAACACAAAATGACTTAAAAGATGGCTTATTGCCAAGAAATGCAAGCGTCCTGGGAGTGACTGGGAAGGAATGAGGAACGGGGGATTTTCACTCATCCAAGGACTCAGTGCTTTCAAGAGAGCAAGATGGGAGAACATTACTAGAATAAGGGAGAGGTGCAACATAATGGTAGTTGTGCAAAGCAGGGTCTTTTCATTCTGTACACTGTGACCTACAATTCTAAGCACTGCATGCATATGAGTTAGCTGTTGAGTTTCCAGCTTCTGAACAATTCCTGACAACTTATTTGTCTGAAAAAGTTCTGGTGTCTGCAACACGACAAGATGATGTCACAAAACCATCAGGAATGGGAGCCCTGGTCAATGTTCTACTTCCTATCCTGAGATGCTAAGACTCAATCACAGTTAATTTAATAGCCCAATTGTTGCGCTCCTGCTTTTTGGAGCTAAAGTATGCACTAGATATGCACTCAGCCACTGGGTGAGCTGAATCAGAGTGAAATACAGGGCATACATACACATCAAGCCAAACATCATCACTAATTATACTTATAAATCTTTAATGAAGATATCACAATAATTTTGTGAAGCTCCACTTCCAGCACATCACAGAATCAGCCCTTTGGTGTCAGAGACCAATCTTCAACTCTCACTTATGTCTAACCAGGCTGCACAACAGATTCCACCCACTGACTCTTGGTCAATTATTGAGAGCAAGAATAAATGCAACTGAATTACAATTTATTCTGGAGACTTATCTAACAGAAGAGTTCAAGTTCTGATCTTATGGTCGCTGACAGCAGATTGTACAACTGATCTCGTTTGGCAAAGTTATTATTTCTACCGTTGCGAAGATCTCACTTCTCACCTGTGCATTATTGCTTCCCAAGTGTTACTGATTTTTCTAAGCCTACAGCGATGTTTTCTCATTTAATCAGTGAGCATTCTTAGAAACCTCCTGATTAATTTTCATTCATAATTGAAAAATAGGAGAAAATTCTGAGAGATAATTGTTCAATTTATGTAAGCAAGTTGTATTTAGTTTATCAACCTCATTCTACAACAAATTTTGCCCAAGAATGCTGAATGAGGAAATTCCCTGAGCCTCAGTCACAAACTTGAATAAAAAGAGGCCCCCAATGGGCAGAGACAACAAGGTGCAAGGCTGGATG